TGCAGGTGACCGGAGGCCCAATTCCCCCCCCTCCATCAACATGGTAGCGGAATTACGTCATAAACTACCCCAGGAGGGTACCATTACCCCTGGAGAATCCCTCGCTGAGCATCCACGACCATGCTATTCCACTCCTGAGCGTGGGTGCTCAGGCTGCCCCGCGTATTCTGGGGGGGGCAAAATTCCGCTCAACACAATAACTGCTCGGGGCAAACTGAGCAACAAGACCAAGGCGACCCCTGCCACGCTATCCGTGAATTTCTGCAACATCAGGGGACTTCACTCGAACCTAAACGCCGTCCACTACCATCTTGAGACGGCGAGCCGGCCTTGCTCTTTCTGACCGAGACGCAGGTGTCCTCTCCGGCTGATACTTCGCATCTCTCCTACCCGGGGTACAAATTGGAGCACTCCTTTGTGCCTCGGGCTGGAGTTTGCGTGTATGTCAGAGAGGACATCTGTTCTCGACGCCTCGGCAGTCTTGAAGGTTCGGACCTGTCCATCCTTTGGCTACGCGTGGACAGCGACGACCATCCGCGCGTCTACGCGTGCCTCTATAGGTCCCATAGCGGTAATGCCGAAACAGACCGACTCATCGACCACGTCCAAATGGCTACAGATTCCTTGCTACAACAGGTCCCATCCGCAGAGATCGTGATCCTTGGCGATGTTAACGCCCACCACGCCGAATGGCTCGGTTCACGTTTAACCGATCATGCGGGGAGATCTGTTTATGACTTTGCCTTGGCATATGGTCTGACACAACTGGTTACATCGCCTACGCGGATTCCAGATGTTGAGGATCATACACCTTCCCTGTTGGACCTTCTGCTGACCTCTCATCCGGACGGATATCAGGTTTCCGTCGATGCCCCTCTTGGCTCTTCGGACCATTGTCTGATCCGGAGTGTGGTGCCACTCACGCTCCCCTCGCGGTTGCGTTCTGCAGGTTGCCGCCGTGTTTGGCATTACAGGTCGGCGGATTGGGACGGAATGCGGTCTTTCTTTGCTTCCTACCCATGGGGGCGGGTTTGCTTCTCGCCGGATGATCCCAGCGCTGTTGCTGACTCTGTCACTGATGTGATGCTACAGGGAATGGAACTATTTATTCCATCATCTGTGGTACCCATCGGAGGCAGATCTCAGCCTTGGTTTGGTCGCTCCTGTAAGACTGCATTACGCAGTAAGCAGGAGTGTTATCAAGCCTGGGCTGCGGCTTCGGTGACTCGGGATGTAAACACCAGCACACTCAAAAAGAAGTATAACTTCGCCTCCAGGTCCTTCAAAAAAGTTATTGCCAAGGCAAAGTCAGAGCACATAGGCAGAATTGGCGAGAAACTAGTTCGCCTTCCTTCGGGAACCCGTGCATTCTGGTCTCTCGCCAAGGCTGTCCAAGGGAATTTCTGTAAGCCATCACTACCATCTCTGCACAGGGAGGACGACTCACTGGCCCACGACGCAAAAGAGAAGGCCGACCTTTTAGGCTCCCTTTTTGCGTCCAACTCGACTTTTGATGACGGGGGGAACACACCGCCGACCATCCCGCGGTGTGAGTGCTCCATGCCGGATGTGCGGTTCTCACAGCGCTCGGTTCGCAGAACACTCCTCTCCCTTGACATCCACAAGTCGAGTGGGCCTGACGGAATCCCCCCAATTGTGCTGAGGACGTGTGCTCCGGAGTTGGCACCGGTTCTAACGCGTCTTTTCCGGTACTTCTACTCCCTAGGCGTAGTCCCGAAATCATGGAAGACAGCTTTTGTCCACCCGATCCCTAAAAAAGGCGACCGCTCAGACCCGTCCAACTACAGGACTATCGCCATCACCCCCTTGTTCTCCAAAATAATGGAATCCATTATTAACTGCCAGCTCATCCGGTACCTTGAGGACCACCAGCTGATTAGTGACCGCCAATACGGTTTTCGTCGGGGTCGATCAGCTGGTGATCTTCTGGTCTACCTGACCCATAGATGGGCGGAGGCAGTAGAGTCCAAGGGGGAGGCGTTGGCCGTTAGTCTGGACATTGCGAAGGCCTTCGATCGGGTTTGGCACAAAGCGCTTCTTTCGAAGCTCCCTTCCTATGGGCTTCCCGAGAAATTATGCAATTGGATCACCAGCTTTCTTGCAGATCGGAGCATCAAGGTCGTTGTAGACGGTGCATGCTCCGACTACAAGCCTATTAACGCTGGTGTTCCACAAGGCTGCGTGCTATCACCAACGCTGTTTCTTCTGCATATCAATGATATGTTGCAAGCCGGTAGCATTCATTGCTATGGGGATGACAGCACTGGTGATGCTCTATACACCGGCCGTGCCAATATTTCTCGGGAAAACGTCACTGAGTACCGGAACAAACTTGTGTCTGAAGTCGAGTCTTTGCTGGACAAAGTCTCGGATTGGGGGCGACTAAATCTAGTCCAGTTTAATCCTCAGAAGACACAAGTTTGCGCGTTTACCGCTAAAAAGAACCCCTTTGTCGTATCTCCTCAGTTTTAAGGTACTCCCCTTGTTGCCTCAGCCAGTATCGGAATCCTCGGCGTCGACATATCGAGTAGCGTGTAGTTTCATGGTCACTTGGAAGAGAAGGCCAAATTGGCCTCTAAAAAGCTTGGCGTGCTCAGCAGAGCGGGACAGTATTTCATGCCGGCTCAACGCCTGCAACTTTACAAGGCGCAGGTTCGGCCTCACATGGAATACTGTTCCCATCTCTGGGCTGGGGCTCCCCAGTGCCAGCTTCTTCCACTTGACCGCATCCAGCGCAGAGCGGCTCGAATCGTCGACGACCGAGTCCTTTCCGATCGGCTCGACTCATTGGCACTGCGAAGAGATGTTGCATCTCTTAGCATTTTCTTTCGCATTTACCATGGGGAGTGCTCTGAGGAATTGTTCGGATTAATCCCAGCCGCCAAATTTCACGAACGCACATCGCGGCAGAACTCCCGATACCATCCACACCATCTGGATGATTGGCGGTCCACCACTGTGCGATTTAGAAGATGTTTTCTTCCTCGCACAACTTCCTTGTGGAATAGTTTACCACCAGCGATTTTTCCGGACCGATACGACTTAGGGACCTTCAAGAAAAGAGCCTACTCCTTTTTAAAAGGCCGGCAACGCATCTGCAATTCCCCTGGTGTTGCGGTTGTTCATAGGCGGCGGTAGTCACTTACCATCAGGTGAGCCGCAAGCTCGTTTGCCCCCTCTCCTATAAAAAAAAAACACAAAGGAATGAGATTATGGTCTTGAGTTATTCTTATCGGCGAATTTTAGTTGCAATTACTATTCCTTTCTGGTTTATATAATGATTTCTTATATTTACGCGAGCACACATTTAAATTAAACTAGTTTAACGGATTTTATCAAGTATATTAACTTATTTTATATATCCGAAGTTTCGTGTTTTAGAGAGTATGAGAGATCTGTGACAGTAAACATCTGGCTGCCGAGCTCCAACACGTCAAGCAAGTTTTGCACGACAACAAGTTTCACTCTCACATGGGACAAACTAAAGGATCAATGAAAACCCGCGTTAAAGAACACATAGCTGATGTGAAGAATCGACGCTTCGGGAAGTCTACAGTCTACACACTCCCGCCACTACATCATATTTTATGTACCATAAATCCTCGCTTAAGAATGCCGATTCCTGCCAAGAATGATTTGAGAGTCTATTGAAATAATATTTACAACATCCAAATTTCTATATAGAAGATGAAGAGTACCATTTCACACGTGTTAGAGCCATGCTGCAGGACCACGCTCTCACAGAATACCAGGGTAAAATAGCAGGGAGTGTAAGGAACCGGAGGCCCTTTTTACTGGATAACAGGCATTCCATCTTAGTCCTCACGAGTGACAACGCATCTGCGGTGGCGGCGCAACGCCGCTTCGCTGATCGCAGTCCCGAGGCACCCCGACCCCTGCTTTCGGAGTGAGGCTCCTCGAGCTAGCTGGGGGGGGGGGGGGCTCGATGCGATTCAAGGGCCCCTCAGATGGAGGTACGAACTTCGGCTTGAATCACTATCGCAATTTTGTTAACGGGTCGCAAAAGTTAGAAACGCCCCGTATCACGGGTGTTAAACCTCGTGTACGGAGTGTGTCTGTGACGACGCATTCACCGGCGAATGCGGTGTTTCCTAGTATTCTGTACTAGAGTAGTGTCTGAGTGTATGTGAGTGTTTATGGTTACTAAACTAGTTCCCTCAGCTGCGGAGGGGGGGGGGGACGGTATCGACATATTTATAGAAGTGATGTCGTCGTCGGGATCAAGAAGAACGTTCTTGGGACGTCTCCTGTGGGGGGCAGCATCCCTCTCTGGGGAGTACGAGCCCGCCTCATTCACCAACGGATTTTGAAACTGTTTCGCCCGTCCCAGGTGCGTAAAGTGCACAGGGGACCACGGTACAAAGGAGTGCACCCGTGGCGCTTCGTCCTCCCCGATCTGTGTGTTATGCGGGGCGGTAGGGCACACTGCGAATTTCCCCAGATGCCCAAAAGAAACGCTGGGGGTCGCAAACAGCCCCCTAAGCAGAAGGGAGCACAGGGCCTTCCAAAAAAGGATGGCCCCTCTCCCCTTGCCTTCGTTCCGGCTCCAGCCCCCAAGCAAAGTGCTTGGGCTAAGCCACTGAGCCTGGTCAGTGTAGCACCAAAAAGTGTGCCCACGTCACTCCCGGCTCCCACTTCCGCGCGCGCACTGGCACCTTCAGTCGCCCGCGCTCCGCGAAAGGAGCCCACACCTAAACCGGTCACAAAGTCGACTCACTCCTCGACCTTGGAGGATCTAGCCTAGGATTTTAATCTGGTCTGCGACTTCGTAGACAGCTTTGATATAAACGAGTTACGCACTTTAGCGCACAAAATTAGGACGGCGCGCTCTGCTAAAGAGCGCCTCCAGGCCGCCCTGGACCACATGGAGGTAATCGAGGCAATCTCTAAGAACTTCAGGGCCAATTAGGCCCGAAGTTCTTGTTAACCGTTAACTTGGCTCTGTTTTATTCTTCTTAATGGATAATACAACAACAGCTAGAATAAAACATAGGTCGATAGCTGTCGTCTTCTTCAATGCGCACGGCCTTAAAAATCAAATTAACGAAGTCTGGACCTTCCTCACTGATCATCAGATTGACATATTGCTAGTGCAAGAGACTTTTCTTAAGCCTAGCCTAAGAGACCCAAAAATAGCCAATTATAGACTAATAAGGAACGATCGCATAGGGAATAGGTTAGGAGGGACCCTTATTTATTATAGGTCGTCCCTACATGTAGTTCCCATAGACACGCCTCAATTAACTGAACTAGAGGCATCCGTTTGCAGAGTAGCCATGACCGGTCAACAACCGATCACGGTAGCCTTTGTATATCTCTCACCAAATAAAAAGATAATTAAAAGCGATTTCGAAGCGCAATTCAACCTTAGTAATTCAGTAATACTAGGCGGCGGCTTAAATAGCAAACACCAAGTCTGGTCCAATAACCTTAGGAAAAATGCAAAAGGTGATCACTTAGTAAAGCTCAGTGACTACCTAAATTATATAATAGCTCGCTCTTCGATATAATAGCTCCTCCGGAGGACACTAGTTATTCAACAAACCTAAATCGTTGCCCGACCAAAATCGACTTAGCACTCTTCAGGAACGTAACCTTAACGTTACGTTCCATAAAAGTGGTGCACGAGTTAACATCGAACCACCGCCCGGTTATAATGTCGTTAGGACAGTCCAGCAGCGAGGTTCTTCTAACCAAAACTGTTACGGACTGGCATAGTTTCGAGACTAACCTCGAAACTATGAACTCAGAATACTTAGACCATGTGTCAGATGTTATTGACACCAAAGAGGTGGCCTTAGAAGTCATCTTTCATGTCACATCTCATATAAAGGTGGTTCCCGGGGGGGTCTTGGAGGTAGCTCAAGGCGTCGAGCGATCGTCGTCTTGAGGTCTCCGGGGATGTACGGCGATTACTGAGGAAGAAAATCGCTGCGGTGAGAGCCTACGACCGTTATAGAACCGTCAATAATAGTTCCAATTTGCGCCGCCTCTGTAGAGAGGTCAAGGAGCGCATGGCCCAGCTGAGAGGGTCACGATGGGACAATCTGATGGAGGAAATCTCGCCCTCGCATACAGCCTTCTGGAAGCTGGCTAAAGTTCTTAAATAAATCAGAAAATGTCGCTTCGATGCCCCCATTAGTTAAATCTGATGGTCAGTTAGCGTTCGATGACTCGGTTTTCCGAGACGATGATGAAGGACGAGTGCATGGCGGATAGCATCGAGAGCCAATGCTCCCCAAGTACCCTGCCAATCGACCCGTGCACCTGAATAAGGTGAAAGAGGAAGCGGCTATAATAAATAAGGATCCCACAGCTGCCCCTGCAAAGATCGTCTTGGCTGGTGCCCATAGCAGCTTCCTCGACGGGCAGACGCAGGTCGGGCCCAATGGCCATATGGAGGAATTTCCTTTAATACTAAGCTATATGGGAGAATGCTAGGGAAATATAGTACGTACCTGTTTCTGACTCTAAGATCGCACCAAGGCTCGGTCAGGCCGTAAGTGGGTGTAAGGTGAATGGCAAGTAGTGTTTAGTGATGTGTAAATGTCTGAGACCTGGACCAGCTTAGGCGACCAGCAGCGGCCAAGTTCCAGGCTGCCCCACAAGGCTGCATCGCTCCAGCAGGCTCCACCGCTGGACCATTTCTTTCTTCATTGTCCCTATTTCAGTCTATTAGCTCCATTGTACATTTAACTAACTATACCTCGCCTAATTCCACATTCATCGTAGAATCGAACACGTGATACCCGACACAGTACGGACAGTAGTTCAAAATTCGACATTCAATGTCCCGGATTCACTTATCACAAAATTATAAATAGGGAACTAACGTGATCTCTTAATGAGTCATACGGTTCAGCGTTAAATACAACTAAGTTCCTTCGTTCGATACCAAAACACCATGCCGCGATAAGAATTCTAAATATGCCTCGTTGACACGTAAAACTAACAAACCAGCCACCATACAAAAAAGGGCACTTAACGCGACGGCACAATTATAATAATTTCCAGACAATCAACCGGGAGACGCTCTCGAACAAGGAATGCGCGGTTCGAATCCCAGACCGTATATCTACTCGGTGCGCGCGTGCGTAATTCCGCATCACCCGAACAAGTTAAATATTGCAAAATTCACATATCCACGGACCGAAGTAACACGCACTAAATCTAACCATCTGGACCCTACCAGTCACGTGAACTTCTGCCGCGATAACCGATATAGGCGGATTCCCCGCATCGCGGCCAGCGAGCTACTGTTTCTTCGCCCACGCGTCGAGCCACTGCCAGTCGCACACGTCCGCCCCATCTGGCGGCGTTTATTTCACTTACATACCATCGAGTGACGCGCCAGCTCAAACGCAATTGGATGGCGTTCAAAATGACCTATGATGAATGAATAGGGTAGTCTCTGCCTACCCCTTTGGGTGACAGGCGTGAGTGTTTATGTTATATTCTGTTTGCCATGTTTTAGACTGTAATAATTATATTTTGTCTTTATCTTTATATATAAAAATTACATGTCACATTGTTTGTCCGCGATAGATTCCTAAACTACTGAACTGATTTCAATGAAATTTTGCACACTGTGTGTATTTTGATCCAACTTGAGAGATAGGATAGTTTTTATCCCAATAAATGACAAATTTTTTTATTGCGAATTTAAAGATTTTTATAGGAAGGGTTGTTGGAAAGGGCAGAACAATGTCTGCCTGGCGATCTAGTATTATAATATATTATAGTTCATTATATGTGATATAGTCACACTGCATCTATATATAAATAGTATAGTGGTATTCATATAAAACAAATTTTAAGGATTTTATCACTTATAGTAATATACACGATAAAATCCATAAAATTAGTTTTATTTAAATGTGTATTTGGGCATAAACAACCAGATTGTATGGGGTGGTGGTCGTTTTATTTGCCATGCGGTGCACCTCTTTCACCGGCAGACCTTGGCTCAGAAGGTCTTCCTTATCGAAGGCCGTTTCAAACTCCTTGGGGATACCACGTATTACTACGCGGAGACGCTTGTCCTCTTCCAAGGAGTACGTGTGGTAGGGGATGTTCTTTCCCCTTAAGAAGCTCGTGAGAGCCCGGAAGTCGTCGGCCGTATTGGCCGAGACGATGATGCCCTGACCGGAGGGCTTGGCTTTTGAGAAGCCAATCTTCTTTTCGGCCATGATGCGGGATATACGATCCCATGTGGCTTTATCTTGAATGATAACCGGTGGCGGGCTTTTGGGACCTTTTGGTCCCGAAGCTGCCTTAGCCGGTTCCCCTTTTTTAGAGGAGAATTGACCTCCCTGATGGAGGGCGCAACGTAGGAGGGGCCCCAGGGCGGCTTTCTTCGCCGGCCTGAAGGGTCCCACCTTTTTAGCGGACCGACGCCTTTTTCTTCTTTCGACGAGGGTAAAGCCCTCGTCTCCGGAAGATGATGCACCCTCGGGGCGCCTTTCCACTTCGGTGTCCTCTCCCGAGGAGGCCGCAGAGTCAAAAGAGGAAGCCTGAGAGTTGGGCTGGGAAGGGGTCGGAGATGGGGAGGGGGCGGGGGACCTTGTCACTTTGCGCGCGCCGCTTCCAGTGCCGCGGGCCGGCTTGGTCACCTTTGACCCCAAGTTTTCTGGCGCAGTCGCGCCGGAGTGCTCCATGTCGGAGTCTTCATGAGCCGGGGATGAACCCGGCGAGAGAGGGGTGAGCATCAGCTCAGCCGGATTCACTTCCGGAAAACGCTCCGCTGAAAAGCGGAGCGTTTTCCGGACCTCCCTTTGGACGTCCTGCAGTTTGGACATCCTAGCACATTCGGACTGTTTAAAACACTAACCAATAAGACTAAGTCCCGACACCCTGCTGATGACAGGGTGCTGTGCGAAAACCCGTAGCGGACGTTACGACTTTTGCACCATAAAACTAATAATTAAAAATATCAAATAAAAATCAATAAGTCCCCCCAAATGGGGAGAAAAGCACTAAAAAATAAAATATATACTTAAATATAATAATATATGTGTGTTGTTTGAGTGTGTAAAACTTACCAGAAAAAACCGCGTAGAAATGACTATCTTCACCTTTAATCACTTTCCCGCTTAAAATCGTTTAAAGAATTAAATGAAATTTAAAACTGTTTTAAAGGCGCACGACCTTGTGTACAGACGTAGACGCGAGGCCCCGCAGGGCGCCTAACGGTCGCCTGACCCGACGGCAGCCGGCCTAAACCTACTCTGGGTGGAGCGAGTTTCGGTCTACAATCGCCTAGCACGTTAGCAGCTAAATACTGCTGTGTTTCGTACTATGATGAGTGTAGAGATATTTTTTTTTATAGGAGAGGGGGCAAACGAGCATGCGGCTCACCTGATGGTAAGTGACTACCGCCGCCCATGAACAACCGCAACACCAGGGGAATTGCAGATGCGTTGCCGGCCTTTTAAAAAGGAGTAGGCTCTTTTCTTGAAGGTCCCTAAGTCGTATCGGTCCGGAAAAATCGCTGGTGGTAAACTATTCCACAAGGAAGTTGTGCGAGGAAGAAAACATCTTCTAAATCGCACAGTGGTGGACCGCCAATCATCCAGATGGTGTGGATGGTATCGGGAGTTCTGCCGCGATGTGCGTTCGTGAAATTTGGCGGCTGGGATTAATCCGAACAATTCCTCAGAGCACTCCCCATGGTAAATGCGAAAGAAAATGCTAAGAGATGCAACATCTCTTCGCAGTGCCAATGAGTCGAGCCGATCGGAAAGGACTCGGTCGTCGACGATTCGAGCCGCTCTGCGCTGGATGCGGTCAAGTGGAAGAAGCTGGCACTGGGGAGCCCCAGCCCAGAGATGGGAACAGTATTCCATGTGAGGCCGAACCTGCGCCTTGTAAAGTTGCAGGCGTTCAGCCGGCATGAAATACTGTCCCGCTCTGCTGAGCACGCCAAGCTTTTTAGAGGCCAATTTGGCCTTTTCTTCCAAGTGACCACGAAACTGCACGCTACTCGATATGTCGACGCCAAGGATTCCGATACTGGCTGAGGCAACAAGGGGAGTACCTAGAAACTGAGGAGATACGACAAAGGGGTTCTTTTTAGCGGTAAACGCGCAAACTTGTGTCTTCTGAAGATTAAACTGGACTAGATTTAGTCGCCCCCAATCCGAGACTTTGTCCAGCAAAGACTCGACTTCAGACACAAGTTTGTTCCGGTACTCGGTGACGTTTTTGATCCGTTTGAGATCGAGACGTTTGAGATCCGGAGATCCTTTTTACAGAAGAAAGGGACATTACATCATTTACCGACACTTACCTTCGGGTGGACTGTGTGTTCGCTTTTCACCCTTATCATATAAAAAATAAATGAAAAAACCTTGCCTTGCTGACCCTACTGGTGGATTTGGTCCTTAGCTTCATCGCCAACCACGTTTCGGCCGCGGATGATAGGGAGACCAGCACCTCGCAATGCCGTTACTCCTCTCCCACCGCAGCAACATCACCACCGCATTAACGGTGCGGCCCCGCCTAGAGTCGC